CCTCCTAGATCTCTCTAGCCTCTGCTCTGAGCATCCGGGGCAGACACAGGATGCTGGTGGGTGTGAGAAAGGGCCTCACAGACTAGCCCAAATCCTTGACCCGATGGGTATGTGTGTGCCACCCTTTGGCACTGATGTGAGGCTTAGGGCAGGCTCCTTTTTGGCTGAGTTTTTCCATGTTTACACTAGTTACAGGACAACATTTAAAAAGAGAGAGTTACACAAGTGATTTTAAAGAGGCAGGGCAAGGACACAGCCTGTTGTTAAGGCTGCACTTTCCACCTTCAGACCCCACTGATTTGCTTCTAACACTTCAACCACTCGCTCTGAAACTGCCCATGCTGTTGGGAAGCTTCCCATGCTCTTCTACAGGCCCTTTGAAAAACACAGATTTGCAGTCACCATCCCATAGTACATACCTATGTACACACATGCAGATGGAGGAAACGGACTTCAGTGCGCACAGACAACCTGAATTTTGGCAGGTCCTCAGGGCGAGTGGTTCATTAAAGAAGTTATTTCCTAAGAAAATAAATTGGAGCCTGGAAAACTATATCGACCCCTTGCCTTGGGTCACCAACAAGGTTCAGCAGTTTTGAGCCATGAAGCATCTCTCTACTATTTGACTTGACCACCAAGCAGCACTGGCACCAGGCTCTCCTCCTAAGGACCAGCCACTACAGGGGGGTGACACTGTACATCTGGGCCATAATTTTCTCCATTTATCTGCTGACTCCAGGGAAGAGCAACATGGAAGACTACAGTTGAGGGGGAGGAAAAATCTCTGGATCCTTTACACCTACTGTCCATCTCAACACCCACCTCAATGCCATGTGGGTCTCTCCTCTCTCCCTAAGCCCTTTTCCACCCAGTCCGGCCCATCCCCTCTTCCCACCTCCACCTCCTGCAGTCCTGCCATCCCTGTCCCCTTCCTTTGCACACCCTGCTGACTCTGGCCAAGCTGCTCCCTCCTCTTCTCCCTGTTCAGTGAGGCACAAACTGGGGGGGCCTACAAACCAAAAGCAACAGGCAACAACAGACCTGGGGCTCTGTCCTGACAGAGCATCATCTATCTTATCTGTAACAACTCCCAGGGAAGGAGGTTTCCTATAGCCTGCCTAGGTGGTCTTGCGACAGTTTCATGACGATAACAGGATATTTTCTCAACATCCAGCCTAAATCATCCTGGCAAATTAGCAAATCAGTAAATTAAGCTGCCATGGAAATCTGGGACTTTAATAACCATTATTAATGTTGGCAGACTGCTAGATTGCACAATAGTTTTCTTTTTGTTGCACTGAATAAATTTAATTCTTTCAACCTCTTCTCCCATTTCTTAATCTCTTCTCGTTGTTTCCTTCTGGATACTTTCCAGTATGCCTGTGTCCTCCTCGGAGCAGGGCACCCAAAACTGTATTCAATGACACTTACGATGCCTCTGCAGTGCCACGCACGAGTAAGGCACTTCCCGCACCTTACGGAGGACACTCCTTCAGTATAACTCAAAACAAGATTTGTCTCTTTTGCAATAGTTTCTCGCTGATGATTCATTTGCAGTCCACTAAAAATCTTCAGGCTTTTTCTACCCACCCCTCTCCAGCTTAAACCTGACTTAGTAAGTGTGCATTTTGATTTCTTCTTTGCAAGTGAAGTACTCTGTGGCTGCTTTTATCTCTTATCTGGATCCACTCTCCAATTTCTTAAGGCCACTCTGAACCCTGACCCTGTTCACCCAAGTGCCTGAAATCCCTCCCAACCTGATGTCATCCAAGAGTGTTATAAACATACTTCTATCTTCCAAATCATGACTGAAAATATTGCAAGTTTTCCCCAGAAAGCGACCTTGCTGATATATCACACGTTACTGCACTACTTGGATCAGTGGAGAGATGAAAATTCAAATCTTTTTCAAGCTTCATTCTCTGTGAAGATATTTAGAAATGCCACGTTTATCTGGTAGACTGCAACTTCTGAAAATACAGACATTAATTAAAAACTAATTCATGTGGTAAAGGTAGGATGCATTAAATTCAACAGGAACTAACTAATGAAATTAATAAATGCAATGAGAAGGCTATTTCCCAGTGAACTCTGTTTCTGGGGTCAGCCAGCTACAATTTGTCAGTCACAGGCTTAGACAACTGAAGCTGTCGGATAAACCCTGCAGCGCAACCTTATCCATCCTGCCACATGAAGACTAAGATTCAACAAATAATGAATCATAACCAATTTCTGGGATCAACACAAGAAGAGAAGTATATCAGGGTACAGTTAATTTCAAACTGTCGCTTTACTTTCATAATGCTGGAGCCACCAGGCACCATTTCTAAATTATTGTAATATCACAGTATGCAGAAGCCAGACCAGATTTCTCAGAGTTAAGAATCTAAAGTTATTCAATTTAAAATTGCTAAAGTCTAATTTTAATAGATCGCACCAAGTTATTGCCCCAGCTCTGCTCAAGATCCCCAAACAAAGCAGGAAGATAAGGACCAGGGGAGTCTCCAGCAGGATGAGCACCCACTGTCCAACATGAAAGGAGCTTGGGAAATTCTGGTTACAGAATTTCTATAGCTGAACAAATACAACCTCTGAGAAAACATTCTGGAGATTTAAGAAACAGACACTTTAAAAACCCATTTTAATTGGAAAAACCATTTTTCCATTATTTTCTTTTCAGTGCTTATAACCCTACAAACCATTATTTTCCTAAACATTTTTCAGCTGCAGCTTTTCCATGACATGCACAAGAGCCTCTCTCAGGCAAAGTCTTCTGAAACAACTACAGGGGAAAGCATGTGCAATCTTATATATGTAATACTGGAATCAGCTAATTCTCAGCCTTCAGAAACCAACTCACAAGAAGGAATTTTCCCCCTTTTCTTTCCAGTGTGGTCAAGCTTACTGTCATTCAGCTTGATTGCACTATACAAGAAGTTGCACTTTTTAGGCTCCAAAACATATATTTTTTTTAACAGTCTGTGCATATAAACAGCTTTCCACATTGCTTATTTATAAATAACATTGTGCAAAATTCTCACCCATAAAACAGGAGTTAATGCAGTTCCCAAAGTTCGAAGTTGCTGACAGTACCGGAGAGACTGCTAAATACCTGTATCTCCTGACCAGGTGCAAGCAACATTTCTGTTTGCAACAAGTTAAGAAAACCGCTTTTACTAACCACAAAATGGCTCTGTAATGAGAAGGCAATGAGCAGCTGAAAGACTTCTGGCTACAAAAAAAGTCAGCACTAAATAAAGCAGAGACAGGACGTGGCAGGAGATGCACACTTTGCGATGGCTTTCACTGGCCAGCTCCCTACCCAACCTACACGTGTGAATTAAGCTCTATTTATAAGTCTTCCACCGATGTGGGTTTTTTTTTTTTAAATGACCTTAATATAGTGCAGTTGTTATTTTGTTTCTGTTGAACTTAGCAACAGGAAACTCTGTCAGTCCTGCAGCAAACTTTCCATTCCACTGGCACTCCCATTCCTGCACCAGAAAAGCCAGATTTCTAAAGAGGTGTTTGACGAGGTGGGACGGAGAGGAAGAAGAGAAGAGAGCACACAGTCAAAAAATCAAAATGCCTGTAAAACATGCAAAATGGAAGCCAAATTCAATGTGTTTCTTTTCTTTATTCCCTGTTTGAAAGGAAAAGGCAGTGCCCTAATCTGCGTTTTCTAAAGATATATTACTTTATTACCAGATACCTAAGTATTAGTCAGGAAAATTATCTTTAATAAAGGGTTGGTAAAATAAAAATCATCAGCATCTTTACACTCACGCACTCCAGTAATGAAAGACTTACTTATCAGACAGCACAAATTTTAGCTTGGAAAGTTATTTGCTTTAGTCCTTGGCTAACTCACCGAGCAAACAGCTAAGAAATTAAGCCTTAACTTGTTAAAAACATAATAAACCTGATTTTATTACAAGCTTTGGCAAGACTGTTCTGCCACCTAAAGAGCTTTACTGCGGGATGAGCAAAGCTTTTTGGTGCTCCACCCTGCAAATGTTAACTCATCCCCACAATATTTTCTCTTTTAACAACTTCATAATGGTACACTAACACACAAACACAGCTGCTCAATGGCAACGTGCACCAACACAGGCTGCGAGCAATTCAGCATTTACAAAACACTTTCTTTTTCAGGAACAAGAAACTATATATAAAATATAGGAGCAAATGCAAATCCAGCTAGGAAAGGTAAGACCAAAAAATCCAGCTGCTTTAAACCAAAAACCCAGGGGTGCTTTAAACCAAAATTACATTCCTGTCAAGCCCAGTATTCACGTTTTTTTAAATCATAGACAGTCCTTAAATATGGCAAAGCACAACTAATAGAAAACAACACCAACTGATTTCTGATCCCTGGCATACTTTTTTATATTGTTTCACTGACATGAGGAATACGGGGTTTCCCCCCACATTTGATCCCTGTATGTCTCCCATTATTTAATTTTTCTTCCAGCAAAGGCACTAATGCTCCCAGCCAGCAATGCCTTTAGACCTCAGAGTCTGTGCATGCACCAACACCGACTGCAGCCACAGTGCCCTCTGCCAAAAACTCCCTGGAGGGGCAAAGCATGAGAGAGGATAGAAAGAATTGCCAGGATCATGCATTTGTGAGGACCTCGGAGGCACTGCCAGCCCCCATGCAGCATTACCAACCCCAAGCATGTTCCAGGGCATCACTTTTATCAAATTATACACAAATCTTGGTACAGCCCTGCCTCACAAGGAACCTTTGGGGTCAGTCTCTGTGTCACCAACTGAGAAAACATAAATGTGGCTTAATCCAGTGGTTAAAAAAACACAAGGTCTAAAAGCCCACACTATTTTTAAAAGGCTAAAAACGTCATGGTGATGGACGCCATTCAGCTTTACAAAGGCTACAGAAAGAAAACCAGCAGGTTAGGTGGCTGGCCACAGCAACAGTGGCATTTCTTTAAAAAGCACAGAAAAAGACAAGGTGACAATGCATAAGTGGCACTCACCACTTCCTCGCGGGCTGCGCTCTCGACACGATCTTTCAGAAAATCCACCTCATCTTCAGTTTTCATTTCCAACTTCCCTGTGAAAATAGAGGGTTCACACAGGCAATTTAAAAACAAACTTATTTCAGGACTGCTGATATTTTTCTGTTTATTCAATCAAGTCTCAAAAAAAAAAAAACCCCAACCCCAAAAAAGAAAAGAAAACCCAACCCCCAAACCCTTCAACAAGTCCGTTTGACTTCCAACATCTGGTTTCATTCCCGACTTTGCTGCTTGTTTGTTATAAGTTTTAACAACTGTCGTGTCTGGAACTGAAGGAAACTATGAAACAGCAGCAAGCACGGGGTAAAACTGAAAAGCTCTAGGTGAGGCTGAGCACATCTGCATGTATTTGCCCATGTATTTTCTTGGCTCCCGTTTGTCTAGTTAAAGAACAAAAATTTTTGCTATTTTTCTTCTTACCATAACCCAAAGATAACACAAGAAACCAGCCTTGCCTTCTCTCAACAGGTATTTTAAGTGTTGGGAAAAAAAAAAGACAAGCTTCAAAAATGCAGCCCACCTGCACTGCCTTAATGATGACGATTAGGTCCCTGGACTAGGAGGGCAAACACTTTTCTGTTGGAGTTTACAAAGTCCCAGCTGATTTTCCCCTTCCGCATGCTCCCATGATGGTGTCACCACCACAGTGGTACAAACATCACATCCCAGCTGCTTTCTCTGCGCAGCAAAGCTTTCATTAGTCACCATTCCCCTGGGGTTCCCTTCTGCATACCTTTTCCTGGCATAAAGTCAACGTCCTAATACTCTTTCAACCCTAAGATAATGACTCTCATGACACACAGGATACTTTTAGAGAAGTGAAGTGATTTGACCAAAGCCACCTAGACGGAGAGTGGCTGTGCTAGGGCTAAAACCCCCCTCTAATCCCGTTCCCTCTCTCATTTCTACTAAAACCAAACACTGGATGGAGGACAACACGTTCTTAAAGGCAACATATGTTTGCAGTGAGTTTACCCATTCAGGGATTTAGCAAGAGGAGCCTCCCATCTTCACAAGTTTTCCATTGGCATTAAAGTCAACCCTTCACTTTGGGACTATCTGGTTTTGCAATGTTCTATTGATAAACGAATCCAACATCATTAAGTCAAATTGACATGATTTTGTCTCGATTAGATGAGTTTGTGGGCAGACTATCAGAAATCAGAGGTAATGCTACAAATTTCTGCGAGTCCCATTTGTTGGCAAAGCAGAGATCATGGTTGCAATGATATGTGCTCGCTGTCCGATGGTTGAGATCTTGGTCCAAAGACAGAACATGCATGGAAGAAACCTCTGGTGCACTGAGGACAGGGGAAGCAAGCGGTGTAGTGATACTCCATGCTGGGTAAGAACTGGAGGACAAAGACATGTGCCCTCAGGATGAAATTCGAGGGGACATTTTTTTGCACTCTGCCACTTCTTCCTAAACTTCTATTAAGAAACATATCTCAAATGAAAAGCACTATAATGCTATCACAGTTGTGCTACTTTAACAGGGGAAGGGAATTGTAGTAAGTACTTTTCCAAAGGGAAAACGCCATTGATGAGAATGAGGTGAAGACTGGTAAAATTCAAAATAAGGTGATAGTCTTCTACCTGGCAATGAATGTTTTCTTTAAATGCTGAGATCTACAAGGTACACGAGGGATATTTCTCCCAGGAGAAGAGCTAGGGAGCATGGATTACAGTATTTGTTAATTTAAGATGCCAAACCCCAACCATACAACCTAACCTTGCTGGGGTTGCTTTCTGCCAAGAAGCTGCATCTACTTGGAGGCCTTTAGTCAGCATAAACACATGCCATTTCTTCTCTTTTCACCCAGCCTGGCTACTGTAGTATGATTTCATATCCTAACTGCCCACTTTCCAATGAGTAGCATCTATCTGCCTGACTTGCAAATAATGTCCTTGCAGAACCCATTACTCAGCTGTAATGCACTTCTGAGTGTAAAGCTAACAGCATGAGGAGCTGCCTTATGAAAAGTAGGATCTTCTAGCTTCATTGCCTTCCTTCAGTGTTGTGATCAGTCACTAGATATTTGTCTAGATAAGGCAATTAGCCCTTTGAAGTCTCTTTTTTTGGGGGTAGGCTGAAACTATGTGGAGGCAATTAGATAAACAGGTATATATTTGGGAACAATTTCACAATAAAAAAAATAGAGCGCTCAATGATTTGGAGTAATGGCAACACCAATTATCAGCCAGTTACGTCTCTGATAAATCAGCATGACAATAAAGCCCTCTGATCACACGCGTTTCTGAGAAACAGCCTCGTGACCTACACTTCCTTTGGGAAGGCTTTATTGTATTCTATAGAAAAAAGACCTGATTCTTTCTGAGCACTGACGACTCCTGCATGGCTACAAAATACTCCGTACAAACCTAGGCTGCAGAGAAAACTCCCCAGAATCGACACAAAGAATTGAAGGCTGCCACTGAACTAGTACACAAAACACACTACCCAAAGTTTAGACATGGGCATAAAGAATGTACACAGCAATAATAATAAACAATAAATCTGTTCTCTTGAATTACTGCCATATCAGAGTTCTAGATGCTGCTTTATAGGAGCTGAATTTCAGAAATATTTCAAATAGTGAGCTTGGATTCACAGCAGTCGCTTGTCTCTGCTTTATGCCAATACTTTATTTGGGCTTCCCTAACATCTTGCCTCAGAGCAATCCTAAAGTTCTTCAAGAAAAGATATTCCAGCTCAAATTTTGCTTTGTGCATCATCCCATTGCAAATAAAAAATTCTTCCTTATGGAGAGGTCAGACCATTGTATTCCAAGACCTTTTAGCACTAAATCCTTATATATTTTAAATCAGTAACAGGGTCACCTCCTTTTCTCCCCTCCCTTTCCATACCCTAACACAGAATGATGCCTTAATCTTACTTTCCTACTTCAGTCACTATCTTATTGCACTGTTTAGTCCCTTCTTCTTTTAAAACCTCACCTAGACAATGTCATGCCTCCAAGAATCCAACCAGAGATAAAGACCTGCACTGTATGGACAGAGCCAGCAGAGCGGGAAGCTCCCAGAAGAAAGGAGTCCTGCCAGGTATTGACTTACAGTCACTCCCATCCTATTGAACTGTCAATCCACCACAGCACTAAAATAGGTTCTTTCTGATCCATCTTTAAATCTTTCTACTTATTTACTAATGATCTCCTAAGCAATGTTTACTGGTTATCTCCTGACACATAGACTTTCTAAAAATCCTGAATTCAACGTAAAAAGGATTTGCTAGACCCACCACTGACCCCCTCCCAAATCAATCCTTTCCCCTGACCTCAGTGATTCTGCTATCACATATCAGAACAAATCCTCTGCCATCACCCCATTCTGCATTTAGACTGAAGAAACAGCTCCCAGCATTGAAGCAGTGAAATAGCTTTATAGCTTTACAACCTCATGATTTATATAATGGCAGATTTTTTTTCTTTTTTTATCATTTAAATGTTTTGTTTGTTTGTTTGGTGCTGGGAAAGGAAGAGGCACTGTATCATTTTCTCATAGCAAAGAAAAAAATGGCAACTGAAAAAGTTCAGCTGCTTCCATTTAACAGCTGTCTGAACAGGTGGAATATAAAGATCAGATTACCTCCATGCTTCAGTAATAAATTCACCTATGATTTAATTCCAGACTGGAGCAACAAACCCATTTCTCTTTCATTCAATTTATCCCTTTATTTCCCTTTTTGCAGTTACCTGGTGGTGTTCTCTATTAGCTCCTGTCACACGGGCACCAGACGTCTACGCTGTCCCCCAAGTCCCACTGCTCTCCCCCATTACCACTTAGCCGTGGGGAACACCGGTCCCACTTCCCAGCCGAAGGCAGCAAGTAAAACTCATCATCTGAGTTCCAGTACTGCTTAAATGCACTGGAAAACACCACCGGCTGCTCTGCCCAACAAAAAAGCTTTGCAGCCCGGAAAAGGCGGTGGGGGTAGGGCTCGGTGGCTTTTTTAAATGACCTAATACCGCCAATTAGGAAGTGGCTTTGCACAGTTCGGAAGGACACTAGCAGCTGTTTCAAGTAGAGGAGCAAAGAAAGAGAGCCCCGTTGTACCCTCTGGCTCCACGTTAGCAAAAATAAAGGGGAGAAGTGAAGAAATAGCACTAAGCAAATAAACCCTCATGCCCACGTGAAAGCGTATAACTTGAAGATACAAGTAATCCAAATAGCTCCCTCCCATTCATTCCTCTCCAGGGAGGATTCAGGTGTTACAAATTCTTCTGCACAAATTCACAGGAGATGATGTCCTGTCCTTATCTCCAGTGCCAGCCAAGAAACATGCATTTGAACTGGAAGTTTTAGTATGTAACTTCAGATTTCTTTCTCCGAAGAAAAACCCCAAACACCTATACTTCCTCCACAAGGCAGGCCTCCTGCTCTTATTTCCCTTCCTTTCCTGATGAGACGCTAGAGGCACACTTACAAAGAAAAAACTAAAAAGTAGGAAACCAACTGATTCTTCCTACCTGTAACAGGCTCAGCTTGTTGCACTGCTGGGCTGATGTTCCTCTTCTTCGTTGAGGAACTTAAATCCATTTCTCCATTAAGGCTGGCTCCCACATCCACTGCAGCCTGGGTCTCAAGCTCCACTTTTTCTGTGGCTGGTAATTCAGGAGAACAAGGTGTCTCCGCTGCAAAAACCACCGCATCAAAACTTTTTACCATTTTAGGAACTTTATCCAGCGAGTAGCCATCACTTGACGAAACAAAACTCTTTACTCCCACATTTTCCAGTGACTCAACAGCATGCAAATAGCACAAACACGGCAAGTGCGATTCAGGTACAGGTTGGCTTTGCTTCCCATCAGGCTCAGCCAAGACCTCCCCCTGAGCTGGTTTTGCAGTGTGACCAGCATCACTCTCGCCAGCTGGACAAACGGTGTCGGTGCTGGAGTCGCTGTCGCACGTGGGCTCTTCTGCGATGGGCTGAAGCGCTGCCCGGGGAAGCATGCTTTCCGTATCCTCCTGCTCTTCCAGAAAGGCTGCGACAGGGGTTATTGTCACCGGCCTTAACACTTCCTTACCCTCACAGGCATCACTCGGGGCTCTCATTTCTGAAGCATCCTTTAATTCGGGGGTACTGCTGCGCGGGGAGATTTGTTGTAGGGTTTGACTGGGATAATGTTCTTGGTTCAGGGCCGCATCCGGACAAGGGTCGCTCTCCACACCTGGTGACTTGCCTGCCGATGCAGGTTCACGGATGGTGCTTTCTCCTGCACCCACTGCCCTGGTCTTGCACGCTTCTTTGGCACGGGCTGTCCCTCTCATCTCAGCATCCACATTGCTGCCACCTGCCACAGGCCCCTCCTGACAGCAGGCAGAGGGTTTCACAACAGCAGCACGAAGTTCCTCCGACAAGACCTGCTCCCTGCCACTTGCAGAAGCCTCCTGCTCGGGCTCAGCTTTGCCCCCTTCAGCCTCCTGCAAGAGGCTCTGCTCTGGAGAGCCCTCATCCCCTGCATGGTCCTCAGGCCAGCCGGCTCCGGCAGCTACCTTGCCATGCTCCCCGCCACGCTGCTGGGCAAGCTCTGCTGAGCCTGCCGCCACCGTCACTGCTTCCTGGTTTTGTTTAGATTCTTCATTATGAGTTACAGAGGGTGTGCCTATTAAATTATCCTCCACACAGTCTGTGCCCTTGGCACACGGAGCTAACCCAGGGTCGTTAACTTGCAGAGCTGCCTCCTGCCCGGGAGGTGCCACTGCAGCATCTCCCTCCTGACTCACAGCCGGTCCTTCTCCTCTGGGTAGGGGAATGAGTGATTGCATCTTGCTGCTCAGCCCCTCCTGCTCCGAAGCACTTTCTGCTATCTCTGCTTCGGTTTGTGCAGGCTCTTTTTCTGCCAGGCATGCGCTGGCACCCTCCAGAGGGAGCGACGCAGGCTCATATTTGCTCTCTTGAGCAGTGCCCGGTTTGAAGCTGTCGCCCATTTCATCTTCAACAACAGTTTGATCAGCAGAAGGGTGACAGCTAGCAACTTCCTGACCTCCATCTGCAGAATATGCACTTCCTCCATCTCCGCTGCTGCTGGTATCAGGTCCTGCTGGCTCCTCTTCACGGGCTTCGCTGCCCTCCATTGCTTCAGCTGCACGTTCAGTGATCTTACCGCTCTCCTGGCAAGGTGCAGGTTCTGCACCGCTTTGATTAGATCCACCAATGTCACTGTTTTCAGGTTTAGCGTCAGGGCCATCAGTTTCCATACTGTCTTTCAGGGAGGGCAAGCTGGATTTCCCAACTGTGCAACCTGCTTCTATCTGCCCTTCTTGCTCCCCGCTGCCATGGATTTCCAAACCAGGATCAGGTTTTGATGCACATGTGGGAAACTTCACCCCATTCACCGCTGGCAACGCTGCCCCAGCACTTGCAGTGACATCCTGCCTCGCCGCAGCATGGGCATCGCCTTGGCTTTCCAAGAAGCCACTGTTTACCTGATCAGTACACGAGTCTGCTCCAGTCTCTTTGTTATTGCTGGTCTTGCAAAGGTCAATGGAGACAATGCCAGTGCCATCATCTGCATTTGTACTGTCACACGCCGACACCACTCCCACATTTGCATCCTCCCCATCTGCACTCTCGGTGCCATTAAAACCACCGAGTAAGGGCTGAGAGGCACTGGCTGACTCTTCCTTAGCTGGCAATTGCTCTTCTATGTTTGCAGTCCTCCTTTCACCAGCCTCAGCCATCCCATCCTCTCCCTGCTGCTGGCCCGCAGCCCTCTCAGCTGCCCCTGTACAGTTCCTGCATTCAGTTTGGCCCATAGCCACATCCACGCCCTCCAAGGAAGCTGGGGCTTCGCCTGTAGTTTCAACCACAGTAACAGTACTGTCAGCTGCACGCTCCTCAGCAGCTTGCACTTCCTGATGGGGACTATCTTTACTGCACAAGCCAGCTTGATCCAGAACAACTCCAGCAGATGTCATTCCAGCTTCCTCATTTGTATTTCCACAGGATGGAAGATTTACGGCACTGTTTACACTTGCACACAGGCTCACCGTGCAGTCGTTCTCATCTGATATAGTCCCAGAGCCTTCAGCAGAGGTTGGCCCCTCCTCTTCCTTTTTACTCAACGTCACTTTATTTTTACTTTCACAGAAGCACTCTGAGCTCTTTGCATCCCCCAGGCTCAGCAAGTCATTTGGCGCATCATTAAAAGCTCCCAAACTCCTGCTGTTGCATTTATCCTCCTGGTGGGTTTGGTCTGAGAGCTGCCTGATATCCAGGTGAACAAGATCAGATGGACATTCCTGCCTTCCTTCTTTCGCCATTTCTTCTAGGCTCTGAGAGGTAGTGGTCGGGTGACCATCTGGCTCTGCTCCTTTAGAACAGCTGTCTCCCGAATCTTCCAGTACAGGCTTGGTCTGCTGTCTTAAACTCTGTAACAAGGAAAAAAAAAAAAAAAAAAAAAAGATTACTTTGCTCTGTCACACATTTACACTGCCTCCACTATGTACAAGATCTCCATGTACATAATCCTGTTCCATGCGGCTCCTGCTCCCTCTGTACCTCTACCTGGTGTCGCCTGGGACAGAGTTACAAACATACTGCAGTAGGTATTTTAAGTGTTGGTTTTGTTACGCAGTAATACTGAAATTATTAGAATGACAGAAACGTTGGTTAGAAAGAGCATCTGAAGGTCAGCTAGTCCAACCTACTGCCTGAAGCTGGAGTATCACCAATGCAACAACAGGTCAACCATTACTTCATCTTGCCAAGTCCCCAAAACCTACAGTGAGGGAGTACCCACCACCTCCCTGGGCAATCTGTTCCCATGCCACACCACCCTCCCATGAAGAAGTTTTTCCTAATGGCCAGCCTGAACACCCTGAAGCTGAAATTTGTCCCTCTACCCCCTTGTTACACCATCTGCCACCACTGAGAATAACTGTAATCTTTGTAATTGCTCTTCAAGCAGCTGTAGTCCTATTTCTTGAGTGCACTTAAGTTCAAGATCAGTAAACAGCAGAATTCAGTCTACCAAATAATGCAAATATATACCAGTCTAGTCCCAAAGGGCTTGAGGAAATGCCGCTTAACAGCAACTTCAGATCTCTGTCCAATAGCACTCCCCAGTTCTCAGTGTTGCTCAATTTTCTCTCTACTGATGGAAACACTACTTCAGACATTGGAATTGGCTGACTATGTCCGAGCACCACCACTTGTCTCTCCTACTCCTAGAACTGAACTAATCATCTAATGTACTCCTGAGAATTGCATGCATAATTAAATACCTGAAATTTATTTCCTAAATGGAAATAAAGATTTGAAAATGATGACATACTACTAAAATTAATGCATGTATTATCATGGAACAGTAGCAACATATTCAATTCCTGTCTAAACAGCATTTTCCTTCCAGAGCATCCACTTTGTCAAGGATCCCCCAAGCTTTTATAATTTGATACAATCAAACTTTTACCTAAAAAGAACAGTCTATTTCAATATCTCCTTTTTTATTCTCTTCTCTGAACCATATCAGTGTTCCTATCTTAGAAAAAGTGACTTATTAAATTAACGAGCAACCTCAATCCTTCAATGTACACCACATAGAGCTCCCTTGGTTTGCTTGGGGTTTTGCACTGTAAGCTTTTGGAGGTCACGCTGGTTTCTCACTAAGTGTCTGTGACTATCCACAAATACAAAACTCTAAGGTACTAGTTAAAATCTGTTCTTTTTTGCATTTATTTGTAAAAATACTCCAAAAAAATACATGCATCCTAGAAGCCTAACTTAAAAAGGTCCCTGCAAATTTTGTTTAAGACTATTTTGTCAGAAAAATAGAATCTCATACCAAAAATGTCAGCTTAAACACCCTTTATCTCCCTGAATATTAAAACAGCCAATATGTTAAATGATGCATCACAGAGAACTTCTGGGTACTGCATATACAAATAGTGGCTAAAATCATCACTGCTATGTTGAGGATATTGCATTTACTCATCTTTCCACACTCTTGAGGTTTGCAAACGAGCACTACCACTGAATCACAGACCACTAAACGTACCTCTGTTTTTTGCCATGAATCCCCTATTTAAAATAATCCTGCTACCCAGCTCCCATATATGCTGTCACCTATGCCAGAGCTTCCTGGTTTTGAGGCATCCCAAGACAGATTAGCATCGGAGGCAGGCAGCATGGCATCGCCATCCATTGTGTAGCAACAGGAATGGGACTCGGGGCTCTGTGTGCAGCAGTACCCACAGGCTGCTGCTATTTTTTGCAAGGGCAAACAAACAAGATCAAATGGCATGCCGGCTGTCTGGTGGCTATAACCCCGCAGCAGAGCATGGAGACCGTGCTGCTGGTTCCCTGCCAGGATGGACAGACACAGACAACAGTGATGCTTGCTTGGGAACAACCAAGTTTTTCAAAAGGAGGGGCTGTGGCAGCCCCAGCATCCTCACAGTGAAGTCACTCTGCTGATAGCCTGAAAAATAGAGCCGTCTGCAAAAGAAGCCAACTGGCTTTTAACTGACCCAAAATGAACCTAAATGAAATAATTACAGGGCTGCTTTCCAAATTCAAATCAGATTAGATGTGAAGTGAAACAGTACTGGAAAGAAAAAGTCTAAACATAGCCTTTTCCGATTTCATTGTCAGGCAAAATGTACCCATCTGGCATTCGCACAAGCAAACAAGAAGTGAGCTGGATATGCTGGCCGTGCTTTAGTATCTTTTGATGGAAAGGGGAAGCGATTTCACAGTTAGCCTTGGTTTGCCACTCATACCACCAGTTCCTGTTGAGATCGGGAGTAATTAACATCTCAGGCACCCAGGGAAGGGTGAAAACAGCTCAGGGTGGCCCATACCTCTGAAAGTCCCCCCAGCCCACTGCCTGCAGACGATACTCCCCTTCCTTAGTTAAAGGAACAAAAATATCCTGTTATTTAGATCCCACACCTCTATAAAGGCAGATATATGAGCTGATGAAGGAACACCCACAAGTGATGCCAGCTGCGCAAGACACGTGGGTGTTTCTGAGAAGTGGCACAGAAGCATCCTGCTGTTTCACCTTCCCATCCCAACCAAGACCCTGTGGCATCGATTTTAAAGCAGCAAGGGGAAGCCCTTCCAAAGCCCCATAGCTCCTGCAGTCTGACTGCTGTGAGGTCCAAGAGGAGCGCAGTGAGGGGACCACTATGGACACACACTGCATGTGGCCAGGGCAGGCTCGTCCTCCAAGTCCTACACCACGGTGCTAAGGAAATGGCTGTTTTCTCAATCACCTGCCCCAGAGACTTTCCCCTCAGTCTCACGTCTGACCCCAGACTTCCCATCTGAACAGAGACGTACCCACCATGCTCATCCCCCACAAACCCACCCTCACTGTGGAGCCTGCCTTACGCTGCCCAACGGCTGCTGGACACTCGGGAGGGACAGCACACCTTCAGGAAGGTTTTCCCTGCCCATCTGAGCGGGTCCCAGCCTAAATGGAGAAGACAGGAGCTGGGAGCAGAGAGAGCCCACAAGGCCAAGGAGAGCTAGCAATGCACAGCCCCAAGTCTGCTTTTCTTCTGAGAAAATTTGCTGCCTAATACAACTTTATCAGACCTCCCCATGCTCAGACAAGAAGAAAATAAGCAGGCATCCGCCTGGATGTTTGATAACGACATCCAGAGAAAACGTCTAGGTAAATACACCCCCAAAGGGTGCCTACGCGTGGAAGTCCTTCCCAGGTGCCAGGCTGCAACCAGCCAGCTCCACTTCTCTTTCATCATCTCAGCCTTTCCCTTACCATGTGCTGGTGGCTCTGCATGTGCATCTGAAGGTGCCGTATGTCACTCTCCAAGCTGGCTGCTACCCCTTCCTTGGCTTCAGCTGTCAGCATGTAAACATCAAGCCCACGATGGTGCTTCACACTGTAGTCCCCCGAGTGCACGGTGTGAGACAAGGTACTCCAGGAGTCTGGTTCCCTGGCTTCCTCTCTGCAATGAAACAAGCATGGGTTAATTGGCAGGCAAGGAGGGATGCTGCATTGTGGGACACGCACACTGTTCTTCACTCTGAACAGTCATCTAATCAATGGCCAAGGCGAAACAGAGCCCCGGCTCCAGGGCCAGACAAACAAATACACAACGCGTACTTCTTGGTCTTGAAAATTAATGTGATATAGAGTTAATGCCAGCCACAAGCTTTATTTCACAAGGCCCTTCACAGGTAGAGACACCTGCTTTTTTTTCCCCAGACTATAAAAGACTAGCAGCAAAGGGCACAATAATTGCTTTTTAAAATGGAATTTATTGCAGGTGGAGATCACCAAAGCAGCTATTGCAGAACAACAGACAGCTGAAAAACAGAACTGCAGAGGGACACATTAGAAGGAATGAGGATTATCATGATACAGATGCTACAACTTCTACACTGAAACCAGCACACTGCTTCATAAACACCCAACAGCCATCAAATCATAGCAATTTTTTCACTCCTGAAATGAGTTTAGCTTGCCCTGTGAAACTGCTTCTGTGCAAGATGTTCTCAATGTTGTGAGACAGCTATCCTTCTGCAGCACTATCACAAATTTTCTTTTTACCAATCAAAAGGAAAGAAAGGAAAGAAAGATGCTGTTGTAGATCAGAATGAAAAAAATAACTCAACAGTTACATATATTCAATAGAAATTTCTAGTCAGTCATCTCTTTTCGAATGTCAAACCCTGATTTTGCACAGACTTGTGACTCAAAGCAGTAATTCTTCAGGTCTCACCGAGCTGCACAGAGGCTACATTTCCCCTTTAAGGGGGTAAGGCAACATTTATCTTGTCTTATCTCAACTAAAGCTTCAGGTTTATAGATTTCATTTTGAATCAGAACTGATTCAGGAAAGACAAAATCTGTTTTAACTGTCCCGGGACAGAGTGGCTCATGTAGCACCCTCCCAAGCACTGCATGCCCCAGGAGAAATGTGGAGCTGAGCAGGAACAGGGGATTATGCTGACCTGCTCAGGGGTGCAAGAAATGGAAATTTCTCCATTTTCCTTTCCATAGGGCTGCATCT